GTAGTATGAAGCAACGACTGTGGAATAGCATGGCGTAGTGGCGCGGCAAGAAAAAACTGCATACCACAACTGTTGTGAAACTAGTGTCATAGCTCTGGCTCCCGAATGGACAATGGGTTGCAGCTTAGGACTGCGGTATCAGCGAGTAGTACTAAATGATCTACTTTAAGGCGCACATCGACAGTGTGACGGGCCTCAAATTTTTAGCAGCGAATTGTGAAGTTAGGAGCCGGCTAAATTGGGAGGCAAGAGCTGAATATGATCGTGCGTATGGGACGAGGACTGCATGGTAGACAGTCAACTCGTCAAAAGAAGCTTTATATACCCTAATGTGTTAAGTTTCAACCTTTTACAACACCACCGCAGACCACTGTATGATAATAGCACTACAATGCTTGGGTAGATATAAGGAAAAAGGAATTTTTGCTCCAACAATCGCGTGCCGCACCTTAGTGACTTTCGCTAAGTCAACCAGCAAACGTGCGCCATAAGGCAACGGAGTTGTAGGATGCAATTACGTGCTTGAGAATACAATTCTGAATTTTGACCGAGTAGAAAAGCAAGCGAGCGTTTTGGTTCGACCATGAGAAAGTGGATGCAATCGATCAGTTAGTACGTTAGAAGAATAATCATGGCAAGCATCATGGTGTCTAGAAATGATCAACTCAACTAAAGTATCTCTAGACAAGCCGCTGCATCTACAAGTGCGCTTTATAGATAGCACTATTAAGATGTAGTCTTTCTAAAGTAGTCCAGGGAAAAGGAGGGCAGTTTATCCAATAGGAAATATTACGAGTGGACGCAAACCAAAATATTAAAGTACGAGGTACTGAAACGACCGTAAGCATGAGGGCGTAAACGTAAAGTTTTCTGACTTTTTGCAAATTTTACAGACCTGCGCGGAGGAGGACAAAATGGAGAAGGAGCTGAGAGCCACAGCTTCAGAGAATCTAGGGATGCAGATTTAACTATGGTATTTACTAGAGGTAGCGGAAGGACATGGGCATAGTTGAATTTGCCGCGCAGGAATTTATGCTGTTGGGCTAAGTCCTACAAACGCTGGGTTGTACAAGAGTTAAGGGGTGAGACCTGCGTACGCGATGTTGGGTATTCAGCTTTAGAGTTGCTCGGGGCCACGTTCCCAATGTTCCTCCTCCGGTATATGGGTGCTAAAGCGCTTGCATAGGCCTGGTTGCAAGGTGTCTACGTAAGGATGATCAGAACTTTGCCGTAATCCCGTCTGCCTTAACTGGTGACTGTAACCTGTTCCAGGCGCAAGCGAACCTGTAGAGAAAGAAATTGTTACGCAAGTTGTTGCGAACTATAGGTAAGGTATTTGTTAAGGGTCTAGAGCGGAAGGGACGCCTAGGGTCAGCATTTTGTTACATATGTCCTGCATCCTTCGTGTTTGGATTATTTAGCATTCGGAATAAGAAGGTGAGGTTGAGCCTCCTTCGTAACCATATAGGTTCAAGCTTAAGGAGTTTACAGCCCTTACCGTAGTTAAAAGTGAAAGCGCAATCAGGTGCTTTTTGATTGAGCCTTGTACTTTTTCAATCGCTATTCGGTCACACGATCTGGAGTTGGTATGCATTATTACGCAGCATTCAAAATGATATCTTGAGCACTTTTTGCGTAGGACTAGTCCAGCAGATTACAAGCATCGTCTTGCAGATACGACCAATAATGGATTTGGCTCTCGTTACACTAAGGTTAACTTGCACCGAGAAATTTAGTGAGCTGGTATAGTGTACGCCGAGATCCCATACGGTTGTACAGCTTACAAGTGCTACGTTATGCATGGTTAGCGCATTAGGCGGTGTAGTGCACCTATACGAAAAGGCACTGCACTGCAAGTGAACAATCAAGCCTCCATGTGCTGCACCACGAGATATGTGCTTTAAAGGCCTTTTGAATAATGAGGGGACCGCTCCGTGAGTCACTCGGGCAAAGGAGCATACCAGCTTTATACCATCGGCGGACAGGTACGGTTGTCCATATGCAAACACTTGAAGTACTTCATCACTGCAAAGTAGGATGGTTATAAGGCCCGGCACACTACCCTGGAAAAGGCCACTCCTTACTGGTTTCGGTAAGGACCCGGAGTCTTCTAGCCTCCTAGTCTCAGCGAGTGTGTTCAACAGGAGAGACAGGAAAAGGGTCGTTGACGCGGTTGGTCTGACAGGCTGCAAGCAGACCGTTTAGTTGGCAGCCCAATATATGGGACTATTTCGAATGCACTTTTCAGATCCGAGCAAATGCTGATCAGCGCCTTCCTGCAATCATCCCTGGCAGCTATTGTTCTGGAATTCTAACTGGCAGGTTTGACAAAATTTGAACGGGAGGAATCCATACTGGGCTATATTGTCAAGACAATTTTGCATCAAAAGCCGTAGGAGCATTCCCTTGGCACTCCCCTTAGTCACGCTTGAAGTAAAGGGGGTATGCCGAAAGGGTTGGTCGTATGCAGTGCTTTGACGGCTTACGCTTTTGTGTCTTAGTAAGCTTACTGTATGCTTTCTAGCAGCGGATAATGTTCCATCCTTCGTTAAAAGAATGAAGAGGTTAAGATGCAGTACGGTGATATCCGAGCCACTTAGAATTAACCTAGTCCATGAGAAACCATCAGTTCCGGCGTGGAAACGTAGGTGGTTGGCGCGAATTTTAGGAGTAATATTACGCAGATCAAATTCTACTGGGCGTAATGTATCATTGATGCAACTGAGAATATTAGGTGGCAGGGTTAGATTAGCAGAGCTGAACACGTGACCGTAGTGTTGTTTTTCCTCCCTCCTGTTTTCAAAGCTCTATACCTAGTACTCCACGCCTGAGCAAAAAGGTGCGTGCTCCTCCTGCGTATCAGTTAATCGGGATGCTAGCAACTCACTCCCCACATTCCTGTTTGACGTTTACTGTCCACCTTAGATGCCCACCTTATAATAGCACACCTAGTTGTGGTTTGACGCTGCTGCACCTGCTATTCGGCTTTCGGAGCTACCTCTGCAACCGTTTTCTTGCAACAGCCGTATTAGGTAATCTCTTCTCTGCTCGCTCCTGTTTTTAACTTTGAATGCCTGTCAACCGGTGCCATGCCGTACGACATCGGGCAGTTGTTCCTTCACAAATGTTTGACTCATAGTATCGCTATTTCCTGGTGTCTATTTGCCTTCTATGCTGTACTTTGGAAGACCAGCAAGAAGTGGTACACCCAGTATATTTTAGCTCTGCTAACCAACTTTCTTCGATATTCCAGGTACCTTCAAGGGCCTTCTTTGCAAAAGGGTCTGCGCTAAAGCCGTAGTATATATTCCCCTTTATTCTCCTTGCAACTTCTCTGCTACCATCTTACACCGGCACTTAGCTATTTCTCCAGCAGCCCCTTACGGAACATGTTACTTTATTCTCCGGGTCTCTAACCCGGCGTACCAAGTTTGCTGGCTCCTACAGGGTCCAAAACTAACCTGTACCATTGCCTTTCGATCGCTTAAACTACATCTTACTTGCATATTCCACTACGTACCATGCTTTTTTGATCCCCTTAACGCATTCACCGGTTGACATAGCCTGATACTCCTGCTTTCCAGGCAGGACAACTAGGGCGTAGGTTAGTTCAGTTCGGACCGCACTTGTCTCTCACGTTTAACAAGTATCGGGGTCCCCTACTTGCATGAAAACATAACAACTCTGCTGGATAACATATCAGGTCCTTCCATTGCTGGTATCCAGCACAAGGTTATCAACCTTTTTATTTATACTTTAAACTACTGCTGTTCAATCTCCTTGGCAGTTAGCGCGATCCGTTTTTCTTTTCTCCCTTATTCTGAAGGGGAACATTATCAGCACGGAACCTCTAAGGACACACCTATGACGCGCACCTGGATACAGAAGTAACCCAGAACCATGAAATCATCCGCTCATCACAATCCTGACGTACTGAAGGAATCCGGAAAACCAACTAAATTAATGCAAACCCCCTGAGTCAACCGGCTTCAACAGCACCAAATACTTGCGGTCGACTTCGAAGCAGTCAGCGCGTATCCTTAGGGCACAACTTGGCGAAATATGACTGCAATTAACCGCGCTGACAATCCGGTAGATGCAACCTTGTCAGTGTTATAACATCAGTCGGCAGTGTTTGCGGACTGGTGGGTTTTCAACTATCAAACGTTCCCCTACTTAAAGCCAGAAGTGTCTGTTTAACGACACTGCGACGTGGCGGATGTTATGCGCTCCTTAATAGAGCCACTGTCCCAAACAAGCATTAGCAAATTGACCGACACCTAATGTAAGAAGTTCAGCGAATATAGCGGCTCTCGTACGATTACCCCTACTAATCTGATTAGTTTTACTCAGTCCTTCTTAAAAGATGTTCGCAAATTTTTCCTCATGCTTCACTCACCTGCCTGCACTGTGTACCCAACCTCATCGGGCTTACTTCTCAGCAACATACTCCTCAGTACTGATCTAATTCTTGTCTTTGCATCTCGCATTCTTTGAAACTAGACTACATTCAATCATGGGGCGAGGTGGGTCCACACTACTGACCACGCTTGTACTACTCACGCTCACGGTCTGGCTACTAATGCTATCATGTACAATATTGCACTATGCTGTTCACGCCCAAAAACGTGCCTTACCATGTCGAGAATAAAATAGTTGTTTAGTTACAGTAGCGGTCCATTATCGCAACATTTCAGCTAGAGGACTGGTAACTGAAGTGTCTGGAAGCATGACTGAACTGAGCAACTTCGAGACGGTTTGCATCTGCGCCTCAGCAGAAGAGTAAGAGCTTTGGAAAGGCCAATAGAGCTAAGAATAGTGTGTTCTTAGACGGACATGCGGCAGCTTGTGAATTGCTCTACTACCAATGGATTTCATTGATCCACATGAGGTTGAAAAAGATTTGGGCCTAGTTGTGTTGGAGCGCAGCTTTCTGCGCTTGACGATTAGTTTGCGAGGGGGCAACACCCTACCGCAGCTTCACTTCTTTTTACCTTGTTATGGGTGTAAGTATATCCAGGTACGTGTAAGCTTTCTGTATATTGCAGACGTGGGAGTCTGCATTAGCAGTCAGCAAGAAAACTTCACGGTTCATGGAGCTCAAAAATAGAACATAGTTCGTCCAGGTGCGTTGGAAGAGCCGAATAGAAGACGCTGATCTGGCAAGTGGGAGACGAGTAGTGGCTAGTTGAAAAGGGTGCTTTATTATTTTACCATCGCTTCCGTGGAGGTTTTCAGGCACGCTAGCACATGCACGCTTACCTTTGGTTGTAAATAGCGAAAACAGATTTGGCGCTGTGGGTGCGTGCACTTGTTGAGTCCACCTAGTGTTATTTACGGTGCCCAAAAAAGCACGGTATTTAAGTGGCACAGCTTGTGTTTGTCAAGCCGATTGTGGCTTGTTAAAGTCACCACCGTTTAGCTTATAGTTAGTAGGCAATGGAGATACTTATGTGAAGAGTGCAACTAGGCTGCATATGTCGGTTGTGTTTGCGTGTGTTGGGTTATACCGACAGCCAAGCAAGAGATCCCACTGTCTCCTACTATTGTGCACGCGGGTAGAGTCTTCAAGAAGGCCGATTGAAAAGTTTCGAAATGTTGGTGTTCCAATCGTCACGCGTGTAGATGAGGTAAGCGGAACTACGGTGGATGCCACCTCCATTGTTCAAGGAAGCGCGCCTCGGGACTTGCAGCTGGGCATCCGGAGCGGTAGCATCATGCCACTTTTCTATGATGAACAGAACCTGGGGCCGGCTAAGACCATGACGAAGTGGAAAAGTTGAACCTTATGGTTGATGGACCTTTCGTTACGGCGACGTATAGTAAGCACCTTGTTGCAATTTGTAACATCTGCTCTGTAATCAGAAACAGAATTACTCTGCTTGGTTTGCATAGATACCGATGCTGTCGCCTTAGCCGGGGTGGTAACAATCATCAGGTTGCAGCGGTCAGAGAGAACATTGTTGTCCGCCTTACTATGGAGCAGGGCAGGTTGTACGTCGGCACCTGGAATAAGACCGCATGTTAAAATGCTGAAACCTGAAAGAGGGGACCGTTTCATGATGGTGATAAAAGTAGCAGTGATGACTTATGTATTAGTAGGAATATGTCGGATTTAAACGTCGAACGATAACGTGCGACTATACTAATGGCATGGTCTTAAGAGGCATGAGACTGCAAGGTGTAGGTCGGTTACTGTGGGCTTTAGTACTAGATTCGAAGCCTCAGAGCGAGGAGAGCATGTTTGCAAGCATTGGAGAATCTTCAGGTTCGGTCATCGGTTGGAGGCGTAATAATCAGTTTCCTAGATGTGGCAAGTAGTGTCTCAGGAAGCGTAAGCTTTTATTACCGTGGACCGGGTGCTGTTGTGTTGCGCAGGAAGGGCACTTTGAAGCTAGTTCACATCGGGCGATATGAACTGGTGATGTCCGAGGTTTCTGCGTGTGCCTTTTAAAGAGCCGGCGCCTGCAAAAGATGTTGAATGGATTAGTAACCATTGCTCAGGGGCATCGATAGGACGTGTAAGATCATGTGTAGGTGTTAGAGTGCAACCTCTTCCTGCAGTCTCGTGGGTTGTGGCTAGCGGTAACCCACCACATTAAATAAAGGGAAACGAAACTGGCTGGCGACTTGTTAGGCGATTCGGGATTCACTGGAAAGTTTGTCGTGCGCAGGCCTTTCAGCTTTATAGGTGAGGGTGGGGTGGCCTGTATCTGTATTTCTCGGCGTGTGCTACGTACAGCAGGTTGATGTCGGATACCTGCCAATGGTTATAGTTAGAGTCGTCATGGTTGAACGCTTCCATCTAGAGTGTCAAGTGCTATGGTGTGGATGTAGGCGAATTGGGTTTATAAGCCTAGGTGAAAGCCATGAGGATTCTGTGCAACTCGATAGAGGTTAGGGGTGGAGTGGCAAGTAGGCTGTATGTTACTTTCCCATTGCGATGTGTATTAAGGCCATGACGTGAACAATATGAGCCCTAGTCCAAGCGAGGAAGGTTATATCTCTGCTTATCACCAGTTCGGGTCGGAGTCAACGGCAAGTACGGCTTTGTGGATGGTTGTGGACGTATGAATTTAGTTATGAATTAAAGCTTTGGAGCATGTGAGAGTACCGTATTTCTATCCGGGCCCACGTTTTTTAGGCTGCATCGTGGGCGTAGCGTGTAGAGCTTTTATGGGCTCGTCGTTGTCAAGCTGTCGCGGCTTATGCAGCATGTTGAAAAGTTGTTTACTATTGCGCATTATTTGTGGGGCTATTATGTAAGGCTTCCCAGCTTTAAGCCGGAAACGAGGCCAGGTGCAGCCACAGACCCAGTCTTAGCCTGGGAGACGCCTCTACGTTTGATGCCAATGGGTGAGGGCCAATTGGGGGTGTCATTGAAGCAGCAGCCAGCAAAATCCGGTAGTTGGGCAGTGAGGTGCGCAGGTTTAAATGGCCAGTAACTCGTAATTCCAAATCAGTCGAAGAGATACAGATCCCTCCCAGGATTCGGGGTAAGTTGAGAAGTTTAGATGAGGCCCGACTGGCTTAGTGGCCGTATTTTTGCTAATTATTTGGCGGGTGGTTGGCGTTGTGTACTGTAAGGATTCGGCTGTGAATAAAGGTCCAACAAAACGCAATGCAACCGTTCTTATTGAGTGGCAGTATGGTAACCACGTTTGCTTCATATGCCGTTTGCGTCTTTGGGACATTCACGGACAGTGCATTGTCCGTTGTATGGGCGTATCATCAGGCTTGTTTTAGAATGTGCACAAATTTCAGGCTTTACGTTAGGATACTTTTGACAAGCACCTGAATGCAGAAGTTAAGGATGATCGGAGGATCTCGATTTCATTCCTCTGTTCTAGGCCTTTACATATGCAGATTTTACGAGGGTCGTTACAAAGTTTGACAATAGAAGCTCGGGTTTGTTTAGCGGAAGCCGCTCAGGCAGCTTGTGTACTATTACGAAGTTGTGCTACTGACACGGTCGCTGAGCTCTATCGAGGTGGTGGATAGCAACTTATCGGCCACTGAAACGTAGTGAGGCATATAGTACTTTGAATATATGACTGCCAGGCGTGGGGCGCGCTTTCCGTCATTGCTACTTGCCAGATTCGAATTATCTGTTCAGCTCACATGGTTGGTCTTCTAAAGCTCGCACCTGGCTAAGGTTTCCTTAAATGAATCTATCAGAACTGCACTGCAGTGCCTCAACTGTAATAGAGTACTGAAATAATAAGGCAACAGACACTTTTGATTTGTTTCGTTGCTGAAGTAATTGGGTTTATTGCTGCAATTGTCTGCATACCGTTCCTGCGTCTAGCCCTGATCTCACCGCGACTAGGCTTGGCTTGCGATACAGGTCTTTTTAAACTCTTCGATTAGTAGAAATGGCGCTCAAACCAGGGTGATAGTCCAACTACTTTGATGAATAGTAAGGGGATGATAAAAGGACCACTGATAAAGGGAAAGCACAATTTCCAACTTCGCACCATCAAGGTCCAGATCCAATGCGTTAGCTTGTTTAGTGGGTTATTGCTCATGCTGAGTCCAAGCATGCGTAAAAATAGTATATACAAGTGCCACATAATTAGTCGGTGAGGATTGACGGAGTCACAAATCGTGAGGCATATTGGAATCCCCACTAACCTGCTTAACGCGTGCAGATAGGCCTGTGAATTCATGGAATAGCCTTACCATTTTGAGAACACCAGCGCAGGAGGGTTGCAGTGGGGTTTTACTAACAGCATATTAAGAAGTCAAGTTGAACACCAGCAATCTAGTATTCAGAATTGGCGACAAGTATGGTTTGAATGGAAGATGCGTGTAACTCTTTCTGGATATAAATAATACATTTGCCACCACATTTATTGGCACGTCCATTGCAGAAAATGGCGTACCCTTGGAGGTGATGGTGCATCAAAGGCGTCAGCTGAATGCCATGTTTTCGTTATCCGCCTCATATGCAGCCTTGCCAGAAGAATGAAACGGACTACAAAGCGCAAGTTAGTATTATTTGAGCGCGCATCGCTGGGAAGTAGGCATACTAGTCGGGTCCCCAGGGTCCGTCATCGGGTTACCTGCTTCTGCAGCAGTTTCTTAAAAAATTGGCTGTGCTGGCGCTTCTGCTACGCTGTAAGTTGCACTCTTCGGGTAGCATAAATCAGGCGACATGGCAACAGGTGCTAGTGCTACTTGTACGAGGTCAACTCCAAGGGTCAGAAGTCAGTAGGGTTGAGTGTGGGTTGGTGTGTGCCTGCCGAAGGGGACTGGAGGGCCAACTTTTGGCTTGTCCATTATAAAGAGGTGGAACAAGCTGGAGAGATTTGGGAAGCAGTACTTGAGTCGTCAGTCCTTGCCGCGGTGCTCAACGGGTGATGTATCAAAGGCGCAGCATTTTGTGGATCCGGATGATGTCCCGTAAGCTTGTTCTAGACGGAAGTTGAAGCAACTTTGAAAGTACTAAGTGCATAGACAGCGGCAAGTCAATAAGCAATTTGATATCTGTTGGCCACTTCATGAACCACCTGATAAAGTAATGAGATGAGCGAGAGTTGGTAACTGGCAAGGAATGCTATCTGAAGTAGCATGAGGTTGGATACTTCAGGAGAACCTAATTCGGTACAGGGTTTATAGTAAGCCATTGTGTGTCCGTAGAAGGTAGCGATGCAGTTAAAGCGGGATGTTGTTTGTTTCTTGTAGAAGTTGTAAAAGCTGGGCTAGTTAGAGTTGCGTAGGATGGTTTTGAGGATTTGGGCCGGTCTTGTTTCGCGTCACATAAAGGTGGAATTCGTTGGGGCCAAGTTAACATGTCATTGGTGAGACGTGTATTTGGTATGTTTTGTACTGTCGTCTTGCGTAGGCTACGGCTGTGCAAGTAAGCCATTCGACTGCGTCCGGATAGTCTTCCTCCGCGGTACACAAAGTTCATAAGGACGCGAATAAACAAACTGGTGGCTAGAGCTGAGTTGTTTTGGTGGGGCCATCGCTGATAAGGTTGGTGCAGGTAAAAGATGACTAACACACTTGAAGATA